AAAGAATATTCCTGAGGTGTGATATCACCCCTCCCTTTTGGGACATTAAAATGCCCTCGAGATATTCGAACACCATAACATATCATATCTCATTTTAGCGAGACTCTTTCCTTTGTTGATAAAAAACAATAATAATAATGATATGTAAGAATTTTTTCATATAATTTTATATTATATTATTAAATAAATCCATATAATGAATCTCAATAAGAAAAGAATTAATTATTAAATAATAATAAATTAATCAATTGATCCCATAGTTTTTTTTTTTTTAATGGGATCATATAAAAAGAAAACAATCCGCAAGTAGAGATACAGAGCAATAAGTAGAAACACAAAGTAGAAATTAGTAAGAAAGAAACACCATCCATTAAAAATTATGCATTGAAGAAATTACATAGACTGTTGAAGAAAAAAAAAAAAAAAAGCAAGAAGAAGAGAAGAAAGAGCGAAAACTATGCTAGTGCTCAGTGTTCCTCTTCCATTCCCCGTATTCATTGCAAGGAAAAAAGATGAGGCTCTGGCAACCAATCTTTTCCAGGAATTGCAGGTCTGGAAACAAATCGTTCAATTTCTTCCAATCCATTTTCAATTTGGTCAAGTACCTCAGGCGTAAAGTTTTAACAGTTTCGAACTTCTTCAGATAACAGAGATGTCCTCCTCTGATGTAGAGTTTTTCTAGTTTTCCCAGTTGACCTGGATTTATCCAGGTGGGCAAACTAGAATTGGGATAACATCGAAGGTCTAACTTTTCTAATCGTTTAGGAAGAAACGATTTGTCATCTGGGGAAGGCGTTCCAGTTAGTTGTTCAAAGCTCTTGGCTCCTTCTAGTTTGATCTGACCTAATTTTTCTGGCACAGGATCTGGGTTAGCTCTTCTTATCCCCGTATTAAGTGGATAACCCCTCTTTTCTTTTGCACCAATCTCATGATATCTGCTGACCAATCTCGTGAAAAAATTACCCCTATGGGATTTTCCTTTGGAGGTCTTTGATGGGCTAGGAAGTTTAATCCATGCTATTGTAAGGGAACGCAATTCTTCAAACTCATATAAACCTTCCAGCTCTGTTGCCTCTTCTGCATCAGCCATGCTGCAGGAGACGCTTAGTTTTCTCAAATTCTTCAAATTTGTCAAATGAACTATCTTGCACGCATCCTTTCTTTTTGGATCTCCAACCACAAAACCCTTAAGAACTCGGAGCTCCTTCAGTTGCCCTAGTTCTTTTGGCATGCTTTCTATCATATAACAGCCCGACATGTCTAAATGAGTCAGGCTTGTGAGCTTCCTTATCTCTGCAGGAATTTTTGTTAACTTGTGGCATGCTTTGAGATCCAGTATCCTCAGATTACCCAGACTAGAAACAGAAGGCGGAAGCTTTTGAATTCCGTAGACCATGTTTAAACCTAAGTACCTCAGGGATTTGAGATTGACAAAACTTTCCAAGAATTCAGCGCTAGCCACCTTAACATGATCGTCAGAGGAGCCTCTCCAGCTACCTATCTGAAGAACACGGAGACTTTTCGCCTTGGATAGCCAGAAACTCTGCAGATCTATGAGGGATTGATTGACATTGAATAAAGTCTCCAAATTTGTTGGATTTTGATTCCATATTGCATACTGGGAAGACTTCTGGTTGAGACTCAGCAGGATTACCTTGCCAGTAAAACGTTTTGGTGAGTACCCTTCAGAATCAGAATCAGAATCAGAATCAAAGTATTTTTCTTTCTTCGCTAGCATCCTAACAATTAAACGAATGAAGGGATTCATTCTGATGAATTTGTTTTCTAGTATTCTCCCTTCCTTCATCACCGGTTCAATGAAGTCCATTTTTATAAGTTCCGCTATCTCCTCCTCTGCCGTCCTGGTGGCATCTTTCTTCTCCTCTGCCGTCCTGGTGGCATCTTTCTTCTCCTCTGCCGTCCTGGTGGTATCTTCCTTCTCCTCTGCCGCCGTGGTGGTCTCTTCCTTCTCCTCTGCCGCCGTGGTGGTCTCTACTAAACCCTCTGCCATCCACCAATACCTTAAGGCTGTCTTCCTTATAACGAAATCATCTGGAAACACCAAAATGCATGACAAACACTTTTTCGTATTTTTATTGAGCCCCCTATACTGTTCTGCAAAATACTGGAACAATGAAGTTTCTTCGATCTGTTCAGAAGGTATAGCTGGTATCTTGTGCCGACCAGCATCATCTATTTCTTTCTGTTCACTTTCTAATTGGGTTTCAGTTACTGCAGCCTCACCAGCTGGCTCATTCTGGGGAGTTAATTTGAGCTGCGCCTTTAATTCTGAAGCAGCTGCACCCATCTCCGGAACCAGCTTCTTAACGCTGATTGGGATAGACTGCTTATCATCACTCTGCGGCCTCTGGGATTCAGATTGTCCAGTAGCTTCTTCCAGCCTTTGGATATCGGGCAAGTTGGGACGCAGAAAAGCTCTGATCTTCTCGTTGACCAAAATTTCGGACTTGTTGAGTTCCCCGATAGCATTTCTAACATCTTCAAAATCTCCCCTGACTGTCTCAAAACTTTCATAAAGATCATCAAGTTCCTCATCATCTGTATCGAGGAAGTTCTTCAACTTTTCCAGGTGAGCAGCCAACCAATTCACGACCTCATCGCTGATCTTATTGATGGACCAGATCTGGTCGGTGTCTGCAAAATGTTTAAGATTACTGAAGTTACGGACTTTATCCTCCCCCATTTGTGAAGATGATGAACTGGAACCAGACATTTTTGAAAGAGATGCGAAGCAACAAGAGGAGGAGAAAACTTCAACAAGCTTTGTGCAGGGAAAGTCGGGCCGCTCTATACTAAATCAAAAGGCACCTTCTTGAGTCTTGACCCGGATCCGGCTTTGATTTCGAACTAGACACAGAATTTTGGGAAAAACACTCTCTTAAGCCCCTAGACGTTTCCCATTTTAGCATACTAGCCCTCAAAAAAAATGCATATAAGTCCTTACGCTGCTCGATTAATGCGTATAGCCCTTAATTACCAGCTCCATCAGTCTTCGTTAGTTTCTTTGGGGCCGCTTGCATTTTCCGTTAGTTTTTGGCAAGTGAAAAATTGGTTAATTGCACCAAAGTCCATAAACTTATCAAATTCTAAATGAACTTAGTCCCTTAACTTTTCAAAGTTTATCACCAACTAATCATGAATCAAAAATATGTAAATAGAAAAAGGTGGTTTTCATTGTCTCAACTCGTCAAAAGGGCAAAAGGGAAATAAGTAGCAAAAAAGGGAAATTAATAAATGGATAATAAATATGACAGATCATTGAAAGAATGGGCAACAAATATGATAGAGCATTAAAGAAAAATTTTGTAAATAAAAATGTTAATTTTATTTTTTGTTAAAAAATATTAATTTTATTATTTATTATTTAAAAATATATATTACATTAATATTATTATTTAATAATCTTTAATAAAAATTTAAAATTAATATTTTTAAATATAAAAAAACTTAAAATTAATATTTTTATTTATATATTTTTCTCAACATTGAAGAGTCATAAAAGATGGGCAGAGGTCAATGGGCAGTGGTCCATTTCATAATAAATTAGTAGCCATACGAGTAGACTTGACAAAAATTCACTCGACCCGTCAACTCGATCTTTAAAAAACAAGTTAGGGTCTATATATCTCAACTCGTAACTCGTAAATAACTAATATTATTAACCCGTATGGGTCACAAATCGAGTTAGGATCAACCCGCGGGTTGACGGGTTGATCCGTTTGTTTTATTTTTTATTATTATTTTTAAATATTATACTTATCATCCTTAATTAATTTTTCTATTGACAACTCCTTCCATTAATTCATACTCTCTAATTTTTAGAGAAAGAAGAAAAAATTATGATAAGTTTGATCTAATTACTCAATTTTTTTTCTTTTGGTATTAACAATTACTCAAGTATCATGAATGAAATGATAATGCAACTAAAAATATTAAAAGATGTGATATTAGGATATAAACATAATAACTTAGTGAAAGATGTTCTTGGAAGAGCAATTTTATCATTAAAAAAATAGATTAAACTACTTAATAATGTTTCAAGATAATTATAAAATTAAAACTTTATTTTTCAAGAAATTCAAATATTTTACGTTTATTATTTTTATTATTAATCCATTTATTATTATTTATAACCTTTTTATTTTTTTCTTAATTTAAATGTTTGTAATTGAAATTATAAAGTATTTAGTGTTAATGAATCACAATATTTTAATTATATTTAGATATATATAATTTTATTTGTGTATAATAAAACTAACGAAAAATAATTATAAAAAATGAAATAGGTTAACCCGCGGGTTAATTCGTAACCCATTAGGATCGGGTTAGGGTTTGATGTTTTCAACCCGTAACTCATTTATAACCCAACCCGTTTAACCCGTCACTCGAGTTGACCCGACCCAACCCGCCCGTTTGTCAGGTCTACATACGAGAGAGAAAATAAAGAAAGAAAAAAAAAAAATAAAGAGTCTTGTTTTGCCTTCACACTTTAAACAAATAATTGCCATTAGATTACAATCACAATAACAAATTCTTCTTACTCATTGTGTTGGTAAGTGGTAACGCTACTTCGAAGTTTATATAAGCAATTTTTATTGGCCCTAAAAAGATAATTTAGACATTATTTTATTGATATGAATTATAGAAAACAAAATTTTAACATATTAATAATAGTTTCTTGAGTAGATAGGCGAATAAGGATTGGGAAAATAACATTTTGGTTTCTACATACTTTTTATGGAATCAAAAAAAAAAAAAAAAAATCTTAAAGCCTCTCTTTTCTTCTCTTAGAGCCATCACATTCTCTTGTTTCTTTTTTTTTTTTCCTTGGCTGTCGCAGCCTCCCTTTCCCATGTGACCTTTTCCCCCAAAGCAGCCAGGGAAAATGAATAAAATGCGAGATGATCTTTTGGGGGAAGGCTTCTCTCTTAAACACAGTTTTTCTTTGTTTTTGAGGTTTTTGTATAGACTTTTTAAATATTTTTACTGAATTATATTTTTATTAAATTTTACCATAACAGAGGAGGAGTCAATCTGAAAGTAACTAATTTTTTTGACAAATAAAATATGAATTTTTTTAATTTATGTTAAAATAAATTAACTCAAATTTAACCAATAACTTATAACATCAACCAGCGTTAGAATTTCATCTTTTCCCTTCCATCCATGTTAACATTCCTCTTGTATGTAGAGAGGATTTGTAAATGTAATTGTAAAGCAATTTTAAAAATTTTTCTTAAAAGTATTAATTTTTATTTTTTTACAGTAAATGTTATTCTCAATATAGAATACCCACTCAAGGAACTTTAATCACCCAAACCACCATACCACATGTGATAAAGTCTAGAAACTTAAAGAAAGACAAGAACAAAAACCATAATTCAATAGAAGAAAATGCTTCTGTTTATAGGACTGATTTATTTACGTATAAGTCTCAACGCTGCCTTTTATATCAGTGCACTAATGCAACTCCTCTAATAATTCCAAGATTTTTATCTAATTCCAAAAGTTTCAAAACATCTTTGTACCATCGAAACTGTTATTTTTCTTTATTTCAAATTCAAAATTTAAATTTTAAAAATATTTTAGACAAATAATAAAGCAGTTTTTAAATTTTATCTTCAACCACTGCTTTATCATCTCATAATTTCTCTATTTCTCTAGTTCTGACATTGCTTTTAAGACTTAAGTACCTGTACCCACGTGCTCCTAAAAAGTAATGCATATTTTTTTTTGAGGAAAAAGTAATGCATATTATAATATATGTATATCTATAATATAATATAATATTATATATTATTATATGAATGTAGATTAATTAATGCAATAATTATGTTTATTATTAAAAAATATTTAAAAAATATTTTATTAAATTAATTTTAATTATTTTATTTTATTTGTTATAATTATTAAAAAATTTTATTATAATAATTAAAAAATTTTATGTTTACTTTTATTTATAATTAAATAAAATTTCAATACATATTTATTTTTTAATAAAAATAAAAGTAAAATATTAATATTTAATATATTATTAAAATAAAAAATAAAACAATTAAAATAAATTATTTCTATTTAAAAAATGAGACCGCCTCCATTCCATCCCTTTAATTTCTTCTTTAGTGGACAACCAAAATCCCATGCTTTTTTTATAAGGTTAAATGTTAATTTTAACCTCTCAATTTTATGATATTGTATTTTTTTTATTTTTCAATTATTTTTTTGTATTTTTTATTTCTCAACTCTAAAAACTGTATAATTTTGATCATTCTATCAATTTGAGTCGTTAACTTTGTTCACGTGGCATTTTTTATGTTTTTTCTGATGATATGGATGATACAACTTAAAAAGGATACCAAAATGGACAAAACTTTATGTAATGTCATATTTTTGTGAATCAAACGCTCCAAAATGCCCCTAAAATGGATCTCACATTGCATTGGAAAGATTAAATAAAGGCATAAAATATTTGTAAACCCTAAAATGCACTCTCATCTCCATTCCATTTGTAACTTCGATCTTAACCCATGTCTTTTTCTTCTCTTTTCTCAATGGAACCTTCTTCCTCAATCTATCTTCTTCCAATTAAGATTGAACCCAACAGAATTTGGGTTCTATGTTGTCCAACCTAGCTGCTGGGTTTGATGAACCTAGCAGATCTCATCAAATCAAATTAACTCCTCAATAAACAATATTAATCAAACTCTAATCAAATTCAAATAAAAATGCAATCAAATTGAAAATCAACTTTTAAATTTATCAAAAACTGAGAATGGAAATAAAAAAAAAAAAGAAAAAGAAAAAACATGGTGAACTTGACAAACTTAACTCTAAAGAAGAATAGAAATCAACAAAACCTAGCTTTAAACCCAGCACCTGGGTTTCAACAAACCTAGCATAGCTGGTTTCGACGAACCTAGCCAATCTAGGTTCAATGGGTTCTGTTCCACCAACCCAGAGGTAGGAAAGAAAGAAAGAAAAAGAAAGAAGGGGAAGAAGATGGATCGAGAGGGTGAGGGTAATAAAATAATTTTGTTTGTTTTGATTTTTTTTATTAAAATATAAATATTCATTTGACGTGATATTTTTATTTGTTCATGTAGCATAATTCTAAGATATGTTATTACCATGTCATCAAAAGAATTAAAAAAAATGTCATATGAAATTATTTAATAGTTATGTCACACTTAACTAATGAAGAAATCAAAATTATATTATTTTTAGAGTTGAAATATAAAAAAAATATAAAAAATAATTAAAAAATCAAAAAAATAAGACATTATAAATTTAAGGAACTAAAATTAACATTTAACCTAATTTTTATAACATGGCAACCCCTTTACGTGCTGGACAGCAACAAAAGCCCGTCATTTTCTTCATGAAATTTTTTAGCCGTATGTTTTTTTAAAGTATAAATTAAAACTTTTTTTTATTATAAATATATATTAAAAATTATAAAATTTGATATTAATTTTAATAAATTTAATTAGATAATTAATATTAATTTTTTATTTAAATAAATTTAATTAGATAATTAATAAATTAAATATTAATTTTTATTTTTAATATAAATTTATAATAAAAATATATTTAATATATTCTTAATTTATATTTTTAATGTACAAATTAGATAAAATTTTTTAATTTAACAAATGATTAATAATATTATTATAAATAATATTAAATAAATAAATAATTTTTTAATTTTAATTTAAATAAATAAATAAATAATCCATAAAATCTGTCAGAGAGGAAAGACCCTATTACTACGGAAAAAATTGAGCAGGTCTTCGCAAAACCCAAACTTCAATAACGTTGCAGAAGAGCATTGAAATGGTCTAACAAGTCGTGGTGCTTAATCATTGAAATCACTCAAGGAGGCAGTGGGGCCAAAAAAGGCGTACCAGAAGCAAACAAACAACTTTGCTTGCACAAAGCATAAAAACTTTGGAGATTATGACATTTGTTTTTTCATACAGGAAACCTTCACTTTTTGGAATCAAAACCAACTAGTCAGAAAAATATTAAATATTAATTTTAGTTTCTAAAT